AATGGGAATGAGACAGAAATGTAAATTCCATAACCTCTGGGTTGGTGTGGTGAGCTAGACTGTAACCTGGCAACTCCGAGGTCAAGTCAAATGCTATTCAGAGACCATTTTCAGTAATTTTCTGAGCAATGACTCAATAATGGCAGCAATTTCACACACTGGAATGACCTCTGAAAAAGATTCTGGTCCATAAAGGAGAGTTTAAAGGGGCCACCTTTAAGCCACCTCCATCACCAACTGGCTTCCTCGTTAGGGTAAGTCCCTCCCTGGGTTACCGAATGGATCCGAAGACAGGACTCACAGTCTCATAGAGTCAGGATGTAGAAGTCAATGCAGTAGGGAAAAGAAATCTGTAAGTTCATAATGGGTCCTTCAGGGTGTGAAATGGAGAGGTGAAAATGCAAATCCCAAGCCTCATTACATAAGCTAAACCAGTTATAACTGCAGTGGAGCTGAGATAATCCATGCAAAGGGCTTAGCAATGTCCAAGTGCCCAGCACATAATAATAATAACAAAGTATAACATTTACTGAACACTTAACAACAGTGAACCCTCCTCAGTTGCCTCTCAAAGTCAGCAGCAGTAGAAAAATTTTTGAAGGACTAACCCCACTGAAGAATTTTAGTTTCTTTGTGTGTGTGTGCCCTCAATAGAAAACACTGTTTTGTGTGCCCTAAATGCAACAATTACAAAAGCACCCTCCTTGAAAAATTGTAAGAGAGGCTAGCAGGGTAGAGATTTAAAATAAACAGTTAAAGAGGAAAAGCTAAAGAAGCATCCTCCTCAAGTTACTAAATCTATGGTCCTAAAATCTACAAACTTCACAGGGAAAAACGTTAACTGCAGACTTAGTAAAGCAGGGACATTTTGGAGTGAGCACATTAACAATGTGAAAAATCAGCAAAACTTGTTTGCCACGAGCAGCCTCCCTGAAATAGGCTCTAATTTATTTTTCGTTTCTCCTGCTTTCCAGCCTCTTCTCTTTGAAGCAGCTCTTGATTAGTTTCTTTTTAATTGCCACTTAATTGGGAAATAAAATTAGAACACTTATTTGATATCAGTGATGAGGCTTCTCTTTTCATTTCTGCTTTGATCTAGTTTTGAAAAACCAAAAGCTGAAGGGAGCGATTAAGAAAAAGAAACGAAAAGATTTCTTCTTTCCAAGAGCTAGATGCAGTTATAAGCCATCAAATAAATATGGAAAGAATAACTCTTTGGAGAATCTGAATAAATCAAAAAAAGCAAGGATAGCTTATGGAATTCCTTTAAAAAAGACCATTCTTCTCTGTTAGGTTTCTTCATATGGGATAATAATGCATAATTAGGAAGGAGGAAAGCTTTTCAGAACCCATCTTAACCAGTCCCCATGGAGTAAGAGAACAGGACGGAGAAGAGGCCCTTATTAAAGGGTTCGTGACCCATGGCTTAACAGCATCTCAATGGGACAGATGACATTGCAAAATAAATTCCAAAGACTCCTAGGAACCAAAGAGTTTAAAAGTTCCTTCCTGTTCCAAAACAGCCAGATAAATATTACCTATTTGGTACTCCAAAATCTGCCAGCTGGTTAGGTTTATTCTTTAGTGATACTTCTTGGAAAGCCTTTCATGAAAAACAAACAAGCAAATAAACCATATATGTAGATGAATCATGAACTGCCGGGGGAAGTGGCATAAAGATGATCTTAGTCTGACCCTCCTCTCAACTGCTGAGGGGAATTAACTTACTTCAGGCAAGTTACCAGGGTAAAAACACTGCCCTCCTTTTCTCTGTTGAGTGAATTAAAAAAAAAAAATAGCTGACAGAAAAACTGCAGACAGATACATACATACACACAATGTGTATGTATGCATGTGCACTTATACACTCATATGTACATATGAAATTTAGACTCACCAAATGTTAATTAGGTAAGAAATACATGACAAGGAAAGTCAAGAACTTATACACAAAGGAACATAAGGAAATAGCACAACTGAATTTCCTGTTATTCCAGCACATGAATGTAGCTCATTTCATTACTATAAAGCACTGTGATCCCATCCTGAAAGAAAGGCCTAAGAGAATAAGGGTTAGTTTGAACTAATTGCATATTATACTTTAAAATTATTAGCATCAAAGGGAGATATTCCCCTTCAACTTTTATATCACTTTTGAAAACATTTTAAATAATACAAGTAAAGACAATAAAATTTTCAAGAAGACAAAAAGCAGTGGAAAACTTCCACAGTAAATTGGAGGATCATTGATTTCCATAGGTCAGGGGTCCTCAAACTTTTTAAACAGGGGGCCAGTTCACTGTCCCTCAGACAGTTGGAGGGCCGGACTATAGTTTAAAAAAAAAACTATGAACAAATTCCTATGCACACTGCACATATCTTATTTTGAAGTAAAAAAACAAAACGGGAACAAATACAATATTTGTATTTGCATGTGGCCCGCGGGCCGTAGTTTGAGGACTCCTGCCATAGGTATTTCACAAAATCTGTAGTAAGGCTTACAATGGGACTTACTTGAGGACAGAAAGTGTACATGTAAGAAAAACCTGACATCCTCGCCCTCAGTGAGGAGAAATGAAACTCCACTAACATTGGGTGAGAACTTTAACACTTGTCATTCATTCATCCAGCAAATATTCATGAAGGCACACTAAGAGCCAGGCATCTCAAAGACATGAACCCTGTTCCCAGGCACCTTAGAGTCAGGTGAGGCATGGACTGGACACCTATGTTACTTAACTAATGTTATGATAAAAGCTACAAAAAATACAGTACGTGATAAGGGCAGGCAGGCAAGCTGGGAGAAGGAAGATCTGAAGACTATGAGGGAGGGGGAAGACTTCATTCCAAATGCTATCTTATTTAATCCCTAAAACTAAAAGTTAAGTAACTATCCCAAGGTCATAGATTATTAAGTGTCAGAACCAGGTTTTTACTCAGGGTTTTTGTTGTTGTTTTAAAATGTTTTTATTGATTTTAGAGAGAGAGGAAGGGAGGGGGGAGAGAGAGAAACATCAATTGGTTGCCTCCCATACGCACTCTGACCAGGAACAGAATCCATAACGGGGGCATGTGCCCTAACCAGGAATCGAACCCGAGACCCTTCCGTGCACAGGACCAGGCTCAACCAAATGAGCCACACTGGCCAGGGCTGACCCCAGGTTTGAATGACTCCAGTGTGTATGCTTTTCCTACCGTGCCACACGGCTTCTTCCCAAAACCGTTTACTTTGACAATTAATAGGAAAATGTTGAGTCTACCTCGGAATCTAAATGCCAAAACTAGATCCTGTCCTCCAGGCTGGGTCCTTTGGTTCTCACCTGCCACCTCCAAACTCATTTATTATAAAAACCTCTAGGTTCAAGATGCTAATAAACTTAATTTGTTCACCCAGACTATAACTGTAAATGAAACAACCACCAACAAAAGAAACCCATACAAAGTTTTTTAAGGTGACCACTTTGTTATACTTTAATAAACCAGGGCAGTTTTGCAAAATGATTCATAGATTACAGGGAACAAAACCCATTAATGAGGTATAGACACTGGTCAGAGCAACAGTGTAGCAGGAAAAAAAAAATAAAATAAAAGCAACTACACAGAGAGCAAAGAAACTGTACTTTCACTTCTGAAATGACTTTCTAATTCAACAACTCTCATCTACGAGTGGGATCTCCATTCAGAAGGGCTGCGCTCCCCCTTCTTTCTGTTCCTATTTCCTCTTTCTCAGCTCTTCCGTTCTTAGGAATCCCAAACTTCAAAACAAGTTTTCATTACATTAGATCTGTTGTGAGTTATAGCGAAAGAACATAGTCTTATGAAACCAAAATTGACAAGCTTCCTTTTCCTCTACCTTCTTCCCATTTTTAATGCTGGCTGAGAAATAGATCTCTTAACCTAAGGGTTCATCACAGGTAGATTATAAGCCACTTTAATAATGCCATGTTCTCTCAGAATTTTTTTTAAAAAGTTTATCCAAAGACATCAACCTTCTACCTTTTTACCTCCAGCAATACTGCAAATGACAAGGTGGTTATGAAAAGCAGACCACAGATTCGGCCAAAGTTACACATCCAAAACAGTCTTTCATGACTTTCCATTAACATTACACAAATATAAACATAGATATAGACAGGGAGAGTGAGCATCAGCACCAGCCACTGCAACCACGTGAAGAGGAATGACGGGGTGTGGTTTACAGAGTGAAAACTGATTTGGAAACAGAACTCAACATTCTAATGCCTGGTACATTTCTCCTGCCCCGGGGGACAGACAGTTACCTGTAGGCAAGACCCTAACGTCCAGGAGCTGCAGCATTAAACCCACTTCCAAGCACCGTCCAAGAAGCATCACCACTCAATTTCTTGAAGCTTGAGGCGACTTCGCCAAGTTAACAGAACCAATATGCTGGGAGACCTAATTATATATTGTTCAGGCAACTTGTGAATTATCTGGAGCAACAGACACCCTATACATCAAAACATTCTTACACAGTAGTTGTGTAGGGTTTATAAGGTGAGTTTATATTTTCAGATTCTCTGGTAGGGACATTTTACAACATAATTATGGTTTGTATAGCCTGGTTAACTTCCTCCTTGAAGACCAAGCGCAGCGAACTGTTTTATTAGTTATTGCTAATCACGTTGTTCACACACCACCTCTATAAGTAACGTTCCCTTTGAACTGTAAGGTTATGTGGACCTGTGTTGTGCCATCGAAAACCATCATCCTACAGGCTCTTTTTCCGGGATGCGCCTGAAGCACACACAGAAGAACTTTTATATAATAAAAGTATTGAATGTCTCCGGCCCTTAATATACTGAGCACCAAACCCTGGTAAATGACAAAGAAAGCAACCAATCACCAGGCAGAATCTCAATGCCTCAGCCAATAAGAACATGGGGGTGGGGTTACACTAAAGCTCCCGGTGACTTCCCCGCACCCCAGAAACCCAGGTGGTGGGAGACTGGACAGGAATTGGACTCCGAGGATCTCGTTACCCCCGGTTGCAGCTGTTGTCCTCCTCGTTCTCGCAGTCGCTGCAGTGCTCATGGCCGTTTCCGTTCCCTTCCATCATCTGCGGCCGCGGAGGGGCCGGCGACTTCACTGCTGTCTCACTCTCGTCCGCCATCTTGAGTTCCAAGAGCCGGCCTCCGCGCCTCGCTACATGGGGGGTTCCTATTGGACGAGGGGAACTGGCGCTATATTCTGGGTTTTGTAGTTTTTGTGGCGAAGGGAGGCGTAAGTGGGCGCGGCTCATTCCCCGGAAACCGGAACAAGGTGGACTACAATACCCAGAAATTATGAGGGGATGCCGTCGTAAGCCAGGGCCCCCACTACTCGGAAACACTGGGCGTTGGGCCTCGCTCTGATGGCCGGCGCCGTGTGGCATGCTGGGAATTGTAGTTCGGCGTAAGTTTAGGGTTTCGGGCGTGGAGGCTCCAAAAGCCAAGGTTTGACCTCAGCCTGCCCTTGCTAGTGTCCGGGCGATTGGAGAGCCGTTATTGACTGCCGTTAAGGACCGTTACCATTCCCGAGTAAGTAAGAGGGTCTGAGGCCCGCGTGTGTGACCCACCGGGGGCCTGAATGCATCAAGCCGTCTTAGAGGGGCTTTCCTGCAAGAAGCCAGGTTGGCTCCGGGCCGCCATCCTTACGCGGGACTCTGGGCGGCCTGTGGTGGTTGGTAGATCAAGGTCTCAGGAGGGGCGGTGGATTGTGATGTGCGGAGCACTGATTCTGAGCCAGGAGACTTGACTGCCGGGTTAGAACTTGCTGCTTCAGGACCTCCAGGTGCCGGTCGCCACCAAGCTCTTGCGCACACAGTGTCCCTTTCTTTTCTTTTCTTTCATTGTTTCCATCACCATGTATCCCCTCTGTGGCCTCTTCCCCCTCCACGCTACAGTGTCCCTTTCATTCTCTGCCGCAATCCTCCACAATTACTCTTTATTGAGCACTTATATACCAGGCTCTGTGGTAAAGATTTTCAAACTTCTCATTTAATTATTTTTAACAAGCCTAGAATGTGGGCTCTATTCCCTTTTTTTCGTAGAGGAACAAATGTGGCCCATATTGGTTGGTCAACTACAGTCACATCGCTAGTAAGTGGCAAAATCAGTATATAAATCTTCATTTGTCTGCCCTTAGGCCCTCTTGCTTCTTTGTCACTACAATAGCCCCATTGTGGGTACATCTACCCAAGGACATCAGTTATTAGAAAGTAACTGCAACATCTTTTTAAAAATATATATATTTTAGTGATTTCAGAGAGAAAGGGAGAGGGAGAGATAGAGAAACATCAATGATGAGAGAGAATCATTGATGGGCTGCCTCCTGCACACCCCCTACTGGGGATCAAGCCCTCAACCCAGGGATGTGCTCTTGACCGGAATCGAACCCGGGACCCTTTAGCCCGCAGGTCGACGCTCTATCCATTGAGCCAAACCGGCTAGGGTGGAAAAGACAACTTAACACCAAAGAGTTCCTTGGCCAAAAAGGGAAGTGATCTTTGCCTTTGGGAAACTCTCAACATTGGGAAGAAACAGTTCCCATCTGACTCAAGGAAACAAAAGAGCTAAATATTGTCAACTTTTGGTTGTTTTTTTGTTGTTGTTGTTTTTTTTATATATTTTATTGGTTTTTTTACAGAGAGGAAGGGAGAGGGACAGAGAGCCAGAAACATCAATGAGAGAGAAACATCAATCAGCTGCCTCCTGCACACTCCCCACTGGGGATGTGCCCGCAACCAAGATACATGCCCTTGACTGGAATCGAACCTGGGACCCCTGAGTCCACAGGCCGACGCTCTATCCACAGAGCCAAACCGGTCAGGGCTTAACTTTTGGTTTTTATATTAGTAGCAAGAGCAGAAGTATTTTCCAAATCAGATAACCTTAAATCATTTATATTTGGCTTTGGAGGGCAAAGACACCTGTTCAGGCTGAGAGCTGTCACCTACACCCATCTCTGCAGGGCCAAGACATACCACCTTACCTGCAGCTGCAGGTGCGTGGAGGAGGTCAGAGATAATAATGGTACACTTTACATGTGTTAGTTTCACCTGTTGTAGCTGTGTGACCTTGGGAAGTACATAGGGAAGGGGACTTGAAGAAAACGGTGCTTGAAAAAAAAATTCACAATGATACCTAATTGCAGAACCAGAACCCAGATCAGGTATTCCAATTCCCAACCCTGCATTTTCTTTTCTCACAGATACCCAGAGGTTAACTGAAGGCTAATGAAACATGACCGAGGAAGAGGGATTATAGGGAAAGAAGGTGCTGGTTGGTCTCTGGACACTGCCATTCTTGCAGTGCAAAGCTTAAGTAAGATGCTGCCTTGTATTTTACTGCAAACAGAGCTGTTCTTGCTCAGCAGAGAGCCCTTTCTGGGAAGTAGGCGGGCAGTGTGAACATGACCAAGCTCAGAATGCAAATCCAAATCCAAAATTCTGGAATCCAGCACCTCTGAGAATTTCAGAATTAGAAGGGACCTGAGAGAGGCTCTTACTCCCTCTCTCTTAGGGTTTTTCAAGTTAGAATCCTCACTTAGATTTTGTAGAATCCATGATTTCTGAATAATAAAATTCTGGGAAGTAGGCGGGCAGTGTGAACATGACCAAGCTCAGAATGCAAATCCAAATCCAAAATTCTGGAATCCAGCACCTCTGAGAATTTCAGAATTAGAAGGGACCTGAGAGAGGCTCTTACTCCCTCTCTCTTAGGGTTTTTCAAGTTAGAATCCTCACTTAGATTTTGTAGAATCCATGATTTCTGAATAATAAAATTTAACCTTATGTTTTTAAAAAGAAATTGATCTCTTTCCCTTCAGCGTGCCACTGAAGATCCTGGTGTCGCATGGGTCGCCCGCCCTGCCCGGTGTTACCGGTATTGTAAGAACAAGCCGTACCCAAAGTCTCGCTTCTGCCGAGGTGTCCCTGACGCCAAGATCCGCATCTTTGACCTGGGGCGGAAAAAGGCGAAAGTGGATGAGTTCCCACTCTGTGGCCACATGGTGTCAGACGAATATGAGCAGCTCTCCTCCGAAGCCCTGGAGGCTGCCCGTATTTGTGCCAACAAGTACATGGTGAAAAGTTGTGGCAAAGATGGCTTTCACATCCGAGTGCGGCTCCACCCCTTCCACGTCATCCGCATCAACAAGATGTTGTCCTGTGCTGGGGCTGACAGGCTCCAGACAGGCATGCGGGGTGCCTTTGGAAAGCCCCAAGGCACAGTGGCCAGAGTCCACATTGGCCAAGTCATCATGTCCATCCGCACCAAGCTGCAGAACAAGGAGCATGTAATTGAGGCCCTACGCAGAGCCAAGTTCAAGTTCCCTGGCCGCCAGAAGATCCACATCTCCAAGAAGTGGGGCTTTACTAAGTTTAATGCGGATGAGTTTGAAGACCTGGTGGTCAAGAAGCGCCTCATCCCAGATGGCTGTGGGGTCAAATACATCCCTAATCGTGGTCCCCTGGACAAATGGCGAGCCCTGCACTCGTGAGAGTCTCGGTGCTGCCTCCACCTTACACCCACCAATAAGTCAACTTTCCATCCATGAAAAAAAAAAGACTCAGTGGTTGAACATCAACCCAGGAAGGTCACAGGCTCCATTCCCGGTCAGGGCACATGCCTGGGCTGTGGGCTCTATCCCCAATGGGGGACAAGCAGGAGGCAGCCGATCTATGATGTTTCTCTCTCATTGATGTTTCTCTCTCTCTCCATCTCTCCCTCTCGTTCTAAAAAATCAATAAAAACATTTTTTTTAAAAAGAAAGAAATTGAGTATATGTAACTTTAAAAAAAAATGACCACTTGATAACTGACTATGACCACATGTGATTTTGGTGCCTTTTGAGTTTACAGTCACAGGGCAATGTAAAGTTTCCTAAATTGGGACTCTATCTAAATGCTTTCTTAAGGCTCTAAGAGTTTTCATATTTGTTCCTTCCCACTCCCTCATCAGAGTCAGCCTTCCTGGCCCTGGCCAGTGTAGCTCAGTTGATTGGAGTGTTGTCCTGTACATCAAAGGGTCAAGGGTTCGATTTTTGATCAGGACACATACCCAGGTTGTGGGTTTTATCCCCGGTTGGGGCATGTACGGGAGGCAACAAATCGATGTTTCTCTTCTCTCTCCCTCTCCCTTCCTCTCTCTCTAAAATCAATAAAAACTTATCCTCAAGTGAGGATTAAAAAATAATAATAAAAGACAGCCTTTCTCTTTCGGACAGCTCTCATTAGTGGAAAATTGGCTAAGTTCTGCCTTATGGGGCTATGTAGAAACATATAATCCTGTTTCATCCTAGGTAGTTGTTACATATTCTACAATTAATAGCTGGTTTCCTAAAATTCTTATTTTTTTCAAAGTAAACATTCCTGGCTTTCTGAGCACCTCATCACACTAGAATAGCAGGACTCTCCCATTTAGCTCTGCTGGCTCTTCCTACTCACCCGTTCTGACAGAAGCATTATAAGAAGGAAGTGGGGTACAGCAGGGCCCAGAGGGTGACTGAGGGATGTGCCTGTGAAGCTCTGCACATTCTGGAAATTGCTCTTCATATAGATACCTCCATTATCCCTTCATGGTTGTTACTGGGGACAGAATATAGTGGTTAAGAGAACAGGCTTCAGAGTCTGGCTCCCTGGTTCTAATTTTTTAAAAAAATTCATCTTAGAGAGAGAGAAAAACACTGAGTTTCTTTTATGTGCCCTGACCAGGGATCAAGCCTACAACCTTGGCATATTGGGATGACATGCTGACCAACTGTGCCACCTGGCCAGGGCCTCCCTGGGTTCTGGCTCTGCCTTTGCCTAGTGAGTGACCGTAGGCAAGTCAGAGACTTAGGCAAGTCTCTGAACCTGAATATCCTCATCCATAAAATGAGACAATGCACATAAAACACTTAGTAAAGTGTCTGGGACAGTCAATACCTAATAAAGTATTTCCCTTCCCAAGAAGCCTGCATTACTACTGTGATAATCAAAAACACAGATCAAGGCCCTTGCTGTGCTCCCAACATCTCAAGTACCCTTTCTTCTAATGGGCCTAGGAAGACACGAGCCAGGTTGTATATACTCAATACCTTGGAGCACTCACGACATGATAGGCTCTATGGGAGGAACTAGGGGATCAGGGATAAAACGAAGTCCGTGCCCTGGGTTCATTCCATGAGTTGGTCAGTGCACAGACTAACAGTTACAGAATAGTGTATAAGAGAGTGGGGAACACGGGATGTAGCAGGAGCCTAGGAGGGACTCTTAACCTGGGAAAAGGGGTCATGGAGGAAAAGATAGCTAAGCTGAGTTTTTATAGGGGAAGCAGACAAATGGGTGGATATTCTAGGCTGAAGGTGTGAAAGCCCAGCTGCCTAAGAGTAAGGTGCTTTTGAGGTACTACAACAAGATTGATGTGACTGGCCCAGCCGGCATGGCTCAGTGGTTGAGCATTGACCTATGAACTAGGTCACAGTTCAATTCCTGGTCAAGGCACATGCCCTGGTCATGGGCTCGATCCGGTGTGGGGCATGCCGATCAATGATTCTGTCTCATCATTGATGTTTCTATCTCTCTCCCTTCTCCCTTCCTCTCTGAAATCAATAAAAAAAAAATATTTTATTTATTTATTTATTTAGGCATTTCAAATAGGT